TATTAATTATTATATATATTATAATATATTCTTCTAAGATTCTTATTAGCATCAATGTTATTGCTTATCAATTTAATATAAGATACTAGTTTAGTCTGTTCATTTGTATTTTTTTAAGATTGAACAAGATTTCAGGATACGGTTCGCACACAAAATAGAATATGTAATAAATTATTACGAGATTAAGCACTACGATAAAATCACTTTAACTAAAAATAGGATTATTTCTAATTAATTATCTATAATTTCTTATAAAATTAGAACGTACAAATGACTGTAATCAAGTTGATAACTAATGCAAAACGAAGTATATAATTTGATAATATAAATTTAGATAAAAATATAATTTTAATGAAATCATGAAATGAGGTAATAATTTGTTGGTAATAATAAGCATAATTAAAACGCTAGTCGAGTTCACACTTCTTATCTTGTTATTAGATGGAGTATGAACATTTCGACGTATTATACGGTATCGTCAATAAATTCAACAGTCAACAAAATAAAGACATTAGCATCTAATTATAAAATGATGATAGTAGAATTCGTGTTTGCAATAGCCGATTTCCGAAGTGATATCCCTATTGACATAAAATTAAGAAACGCTTTGACATTTATGATCATTCGTAAAAGAAATTTATAATCGTCTAATTTGTTAATCGGCAGTCGGCTTTATCTGCAACGAAATCAACCGAATTCTTTTTTTCAAGTATTTCTCTAATCCTTCCGTTCGATGATCCTAAGAAAGACATTAGAGAAGAAAATCAATCAGAGAAGAAAAAGAAAGAAAGAGAGAGAAGAACTTGTTGTCCGCGTTACGAATCAAGATTCTTGAAGAAATCAAGAAATGCTAATATCATTCTATCTGTAAGTAATGAATTTTGAGACGATGCTATTTTTAGAGGCACTTGATCACTGTGAATTTATTTATTTTAATAGATGTTTTCTTAATTTAATAGGCACTTTTATCGCGTTTCCTTAAACTATATTGGCTCATCTCGTTTTATGATTCACCCAATTGATCTTTAGATGTATAGCGGCTTGTTTATCTTTCCGACGAGAAGAAAGAATTTTCTGGCACGTAGCGACACTTTCTCTCGACTTGTCTTCACCAACTTTTTCGACGGCTAAGAAGCTCTCGAGCGCATGTCGAAGTAATTACAAAACGAACGCATAGGGAAGGAAGTTTAATCAAAAGTCTCCTGTTGCGAGGTGCAACATGAAAGATGCGTCTCAAAGTGATCTCGCCGTAAATAATTATTAACACGATTTCGCGAAGAATTTGCACTATAATTACCATGCGCTTGTCAGCATTTACGTGGCCTACGCGTGAAAATTGCGCGCTAAGATTCAATAATCAGACCCCGAATGCAACTCGTCAACCGATTAATATAATCGCGATAGCGCAATTTCCAACACCTGCCGTAGAGATCACTTTAGCGAGAAGGTTATTACGAAAGGATGATTACACATACGAGAGTAACTAATCATTTGCATCGCTTATTTTTCATAGAGATATACGATCGATGTGTACAATTACGAAGCAAAAAGTTCAGTCTCCCTATCCGTTTGCGGATTTATTGAATTCTGATAAACTGCGACGTTGCATAAAATCCGATAAAGTAATAAAACTTTATGGAGTTATGTACATAATCATATCTACGTTGTCACACCTGTTTAGCATGATTTGCGTAGAAGATTTACGTTTAAGGGCACGAACTTTAGTTCGTGACAAACGGCGAAATTAAGCGGATGCCAAATATCTCATTAATTTCAAGCAAGAGCTCGGACGAGAACATCAATAAATACATCAATATCTTTTGATTAATCGGGCAATTTCGTCACTTCCATTTTTCGGTCAGATAAACTTATGCTCATCCATCTTTCTCTCGCCATGATCCCTACGGCAGAACTTCCGAAATTACGGTTGCACCTGTCGTCGAAGACTGATGAAAATGTTCGGAGAACCAAGTGTGATCATCAAATGGAGATTTATTACTTGAGAAGCGAGATTATAATCCCAATTTATCTATTCAGTTATGACTCATTTCGACGATTAGTATACAATAATTTGACAGAAATTAAAAAAAATCATAATAGTCATCGTGTTTGAGTGTCCTGATGAAGCGATATAAAATTTCGATTAATCACGATAAAATGGCTATAAGAAGAAGGGAAAAACGTAAATTTCTCGTAAATCATGCCGATACTAGTATCAATTATGTAATGTAAAAATTATGAGAAAAATGTCAAAGGTTCTCGATCGGGTCGGTGGATGAAAATCCGAGGTTAGGGTTAATTGTGATTTTATTTAACATGATCACATTCGCCAACCAGTCATATACTAGTAAATTTAAAATGATTACTTTAATGACTGAATTAACATCCGTATCCTTTCAATCTTTAGCGTGCACTCGTACGTTTCGTGCTTGCACGTAGCTCAAGAGACGTGAGAGATCCTTCAAAGTAAACATACAGGAAGTCTGATATGTCCATGACGTAAGAATACCAGATGTCAAGTCTACTTGCATCAGGAACAGGTTTGACATTCCTGTGCACAGTCGGATAACTAATTAAAAATTTGCCTCAAATTTTATAAGGCCGAGCTAAAACCGTTAGTCACGGAAAGATCGATTTTGCTAAAGTTTAAGAATTTAGGTAGCTACAGATCTAAAATTAATTTTATTGTATTATCAAAGTAATTATATACACAGAAAGAACGATTTTTCTGAAGTATCTAAAAATTTAACTAGATTCACATTTGAAAATAATTTTATTGGATTGTAAAAATAATTATCCAAAACGTTGGTAACAATTAACAATTGCAAAAAGTTTTAATATTTTAGTAATCAACTTGAGCATCTCACATTATTATAATTATATAATTGTTATATAATTATTTTGATAATCCAATAAAATTTACTTTTAGATCTGTACACTGACAGAAAAATGTCAAAATATTGCGAAGCAAATGTTATTTACAAAATTTGATTGTGATGATGAAATATACATTTCTGTGAAATACTTTATATTTTATTTCTGTGAGATATATTTTATTTCTGTGAAATATATCTCATTAATTGCAAAAAAATAAAACAGATGGCTTTTTTATTAAGAATAAAATTTTATTTCGCTCGTATTTAAATAAATATTTATTTCAGTGAAATAAATACATTTCTCACAAATATATTTTTAGGCATTTTTTTCTCAGTATATCTAGCTAAATTTTTTTATGCTTTAGCAAAATCATTATTTCCGTATAGAAAAGTATAATGAGCAATACTACAAAAAAACTTTGACATTTTTTAACAATGAATTGAACGTCTTACATAATTATTTGGATAGTCCAATAAAATTTATTTTTAGATCTGTATCTAGCTAAATTTTTTGATGTTTTAGCAAAATCGTTCTTTCTGTGTATTAATAAAAAATTAGTCACAAATTATATTCAACCATTATGCACAATATTACACTTAATATTCTTTCATGTGAGTGTGTTTACTGTATGTAAAGAATTAATTTATTAATGTAACGCGTGATTTTTTACAAGTATTATGTTAATTCTAAGCATCTAAATTTATATTTAATAATATACTAATAATATAGTTTCTATATTAATAATATGATTTCTGATGTACAGACTAATATTTCTTTGATAAGTGCATACGGATGCAGTGTTTAGCGTAGACCGAGTGCCGGGCAAGATGCAATGAATGGCTGCCGGAAGTCCCTTGTGTAATGTCACGGAATTAAGTAGCCATTTATTCACAGGATTTTCAATGACTTATCGGCCGTGCTAAATGAATGCGCTTGTTTGGCGCGGTTAACGAAACGTATAAAAGCACCGTCCCTTCTGTTATTTACGACCTACATCTATTTATATATTGCAGAATGCTGTGGGGAAGATGCGTTCTCTAGCCCTCGTTCTCACGAGCTTCAACCTCTTGCAAGTCGTCGTTCGCTGTCAAGAATTATCGGTCATCCGGCACTCCGATGGAGATATTTTTACCATCGAAGGTAAATATTTTGTGATCGTTATTATTATATTAAGCTTTTTTTTTTTATTAATCTGTGAAGAAAGACAATTCAGGACGGCGGTCGAAAGTGTCGTGTTGAAAATGCTGCGTATTGCAAATTTCTTCCAACTAGAATTTTCACTCGTGTGTCGTTTTTCATTCGAGACCTTAATATCTATTTGCGATTTCTCGCAATGCCATTGTGGTAATGCTGACATTATGACGTGTTACATTTTGGCGATCTGATTCGAGAAGCGTGCCTTGTAAAGCACAATTCGTGCCGGTGATACGACGTAAATCCTGCATGCCGATTTTCCGGTACACGGAAACGAAGTAATTCGCAATTCGAGAGCGCCGAACGTATTTCAGGATGGTTTTGTGCGAAATCGTGACACAACCGCTGCGTGAAATAAAAAGACGTTTGTAACGGATTAACCGTGAAATTACGATGTAACGGTTTGACAGCTGTCCGACCTGTCCTTGCTCGGCTGGATTATATGGCACGTCCTGACTGTCCTGAGGAACACGCGAATTTCAACTGATGGATCGTACTTTGTAGCTTGAAGAGCCTCGCGTTTACTGACTCCTGCGAAACACATTCGATACACAAACAAATTATTGATTTTTCAGATTGGTTAATCGACTGAATTAAATACGATGGTGACTTAAATACATATTTTATAATATGTATGTATATTATAACATGTGACATGAATATATATCTATATATATATATATATATATATATATATACGGTATCAATTAAAAACAGAAAAACAAAAATTATAATTGGACAAGCTAAAATACAGTTATAAAAAACAGTATTATAAAATTCAATCAATAAATTGATGTAATATTGTTGATATCCGATATTAAAATATGGGATATAAATTAATATGTACTTGAATGATCTCATAAATGGATACATTTGAAGAAAATTATTTCAGCCGAAATCTTGGATTTGATTTTAAATTAACAAACGCGATTTAATGTATTCTACATGGAAAAAGTTATTTTGCTGAAATATTTAAAAAGTTAACTAGATATAGATCAGGAAATAATTTTGTTGGAGATTATAATAATAATTACGTCAGACCCACTCAAGCTGATTATCAGAATATCAAAATATTTTTGCAGCATTACTTTTCATTCCTATATAATTATTTCAATGGTTCAATAAAATTATTTTTCAGACTTGTATCTATAAATTTTTATGTACTTCAGTAAACTTACTTATGCTCAAGTATCTAAAAAGTTACTAAGTACAGATCTGAAATTAATTTTGGATCATCAAAATAATTATGTAAGAATTTTAAATTATAAATAATTAATTATAAATAATAATTTCAACTATATAAATATAAATGAATACAAGAATATTAAAATTCATTAAGTATCATGTTTGAATTTGTAATTATTTTCATGATCCAAGAAAATTATTTTTCAGATTTGTATTTTAATTCAATTTTTCTAGATATTTCAGCAAATCCTTCTAATAAAATATATTAAACTGAAAATTTGTTACAGGTTCTTGCACGGAGGCTTGCACAGTGCTTAGCAGCGGTACCGCCAGTCCTTTTTCACGGGGTTCCTCGAGTTTAAGTCTGCTTGTGCCAAACAGTTCCTGCACGTGCCAGTGCAACTTCGATTTGCCTATCTTTCGAGAGGATCTTCACATATGCGTCAATGACATTCACGGTAACGTTCTCGCAAAATTTCTTCGTTATGAATTATGAAGTCATCTACCGCGGTGCGGTGATGTTGCGGCAAGTCACTGCGTGAACGTTTACTTGCTTGACATTAATGATTTCCGACTGCGCCTTCCGTTACATCCTCTTGCCAGCTGGTCCAAATCAAGCAGCAAAAGCGTCCGCACAGCGGACGCGGATTTATATGGCTCATTCTCCTGTATTTAGAATCACACGTGGTATTCACCGCGATCAATCTTAAATGTACTATTCGACGCCATTTGTGTAATTGCGCATGACTTACGAATTGTTCCTTTCACGAATTATTGTTCTTCCTGTTTCATCGTTACGAGATAACAGAAATGTCCAATATTATTATTATATTTGTGAACTTTGTGTCTCACACGAAATAATAATAATGTCGATTAACTTACAATCAGGGTAAGAAAACACGAAACCGTAATGAAGTCCTTATTTATTTCTTTTTATACATATAATGAAGTATTATCATAAAAATACGGTCAGGATTGCACGACGGCAGTGGTTCAATCTCTTCTCACTGTCGAATATATATAATTATCGTGAGCCATAAAAAACCAGGGGATGTATGATTACGGTCTCGTCGCTGATTGTGCTCTCTTTTCCCGCGATATTATTAATAATATGGCGATATATTATTTATTACACCATCATTAATTTTCACGCAGCCAGACCAGTAATCGAAATATCGTTCGCGATAGGTGGTCGCCGTATGGTATCGGCGTACCAGGTGTAGCCTCCCCGGAAGTGTGACTCTCCCTCCATGGTTATCGACACCGACATACCTCTCAAGTACCGTTTTTAAGCTACCGGTCGCGATTGGTCGCCGTTGGCAGAGGTGAGGCCACGCAAAAATGGCGTGTCCTGTTCGACCAATGTAATTTCGGGGGATTTAATGTCTACGTACATGCGTGGCATCACGCGATTAAACTGCCGTTTCAGACGGAATTTGAATAATTTATCTTCCTCCGTATTTTTTTCCTCTCCTTCCCCCGCCCTCTTACAATTCGTCTCCTACTTTCTTCACACGTCGGCAATCGATTTATAAGTCTCGAATAATTGAAGAATTGACACAGATTGAATTAATGGAAGAATTGACATAAGTGAATGCATTTATAAAAGCCTCCACTTTTTACACCATTTAATGATTGAAGGAATATAATTATATGATGAAAGGGTGAAGTGAGGGACACATCGCCAGGAGAGTACCATCGCGTGCGTTGCCGGGGTTGTTGATGAATTGCCGCGATGTTAGGCAATTATAATTTACAAGAAAAACTTTTTGACAACCCGAAATTGACTTCTTTTTGCGGGTAAATATGCAGTAATTTATTGTGATTTAATAATATTGGCAATGCGGCGAAAAATTCGATGTTTTACTGAATATGAATGAGGAATGCTTCTTAAAATTTTATTCATTAATCGAAGACCTCCCACAGTCAAATGTACCTGTCGTATCTGAAAAAATGCAACCGACATAGTTGGTCACGAACGCGGCATTTATCATGTATGGAACTCTGACTCTCTACAGAACAGTAAGGAAGGATTGTGATACCTCTGAGGTTCTTAAAAAGTTTTTAATTTTATAATAATTTAGTTATACACAAAACTTAAGAATTGTACTGTAAAATAATATATGTCTCGTTTACTTTAAATATAAATAACAATATATGTCAAAGAACTAAAATTTTTAATTAAATATTTATTCTCTGTTCCAGAAAATATTTCCTGTTAGATTGTTCTTATTTTTTATCTTAGAGTATATAATTTTTACATAATTTTAATAATAATTTTGGGTTATTTATCACATCACTATTTATTTGTAAAATATGTAAAGAACATATTGTACTTTGGAGCACAATTATTGGAGCATAATTATTTTTTTATTACACTGAAAGCTATTTTGTATGATATGTGATTTATAAAAGCTTTTTTTTAATTTTTTAATTTAAAAAAATTTAAATTACGCGTAAACTTCCTTGAAGAAGAAAAAAGTGGAAACTAAAAGAGATTTTTTTACGTTGCCTGCTCAAATATATTATTTTTTAACTAGAATAATACAACTGAGAAAATTTTTTAAGGTTTTCATGAATACTTTCTACATAAAATCTGTGTGTTTTGCGAGTTATCTCCGTGTCTGTATATCCATTCTTGAAATATCAACATTTTATATCGCGGTCTTCCCTAATAGAATTGTATATGCATAATTGTATAGAATTACAATAATCACAATACTTTAATAGAATAACAGTTTATTACGATAGAATATTTAACAATATAAACGGATGAAATGACTAGTTTATTAATATATTCCAAACGTGCTTATCTCTTCCTTGAACTGCTTGTTGTTCAGATTCAGTATAGTAGATAATCATTTATATCTTTCCTTGTGCGTGAACCAGGCAGGATGAACTAGATAAACCGGACGAGATAAAAATCGTTATTGAAAGGTCGAGTAACGTGTTACCCGCGACCGTAAAACTATGTTACGTATCATGGCGTGAATAAATGACGTGCCCTTGCCCATTTCCATAAGTCACCCTCTGTACACTCGACGTGCATACTCTTAGCGAATACTCGTTGAAGAATAGATTCTTATCTAAACGATAACGAGATGCTAACCCGTTGGATATAAATCTCAAAGAGAGAGAGAGAGAGAGAGAGAGAGAGGATGTAAAGAATATAAATACCGCTTATTGGGCACATAAATGATACCGTTCCAATTTTCACGGAAAGAACGAGAAGTATCTACACTTTTAGTAGAAGTATCTATACTCAAAAAATTTTTTTAAATCTTAATACATACATATTATAGTAAATTTTATTTAACTTACAGTAAATAAATATATTTAATAAAAAAATGATAGTTAAATCGAATTAATGATTTTTATACCAAGTAAATATATGTTTATATTTAGTAAATATTGACTTAGAAATATTCAAATTGATATTTATTAAAATTTAATATTTTTTTCGGTGTAAAAATTCAGTTAGATACAAATTTGAAAATAATTTTGTTAAACTGTCAAAATAATTAATGTATAAGACTTTTTAATGAAATCTTTCATTATACATTCTATCCTACATATAATTCTTTCGATGGTCCAGCAAAATTATTTTCAAATTTGTATCTATTTAAAATTTTTAATATTTCAATAAAATTGTTCTCCCATGGTGGAACGTTCCGTGCATGCGACAACGTCATCCTGCCATGAAGTCTGTTTGGTCTAGGAAAACAGAAACGTTTTATTTGATTATATTATTTGACACTACGTCTTTCTTATTACGCAGGCAAGGATTCATAATGCGAGGTACGCAAATCTCAAACCGCGTTCTCGAACCAGCGCGAGCCTACTTCATCTGGCAGTCGAGCAGATTTCTCGGCTCACGAGCATACCGCTTTCAATTGAACCGCGTCATCGGAAATGATTGCTCCAGCTGTTCGAGTGAACCGTCTGTCCGCCGCGTTTCTAAATCGTCTGCTATGCACGCGGTACGACATTAAGCAGCGGCAGCACTTGATGCATGTGCTGGCGACTTGTTTTTATCACGGGTCGCTTTCCTGCCCGAGCAATCCGTCTTACTTGCTTCTTGACAATTGGAAGAGTCTGAACCTCGAGATTGAATAGCCTAGAAAAAGATAAGCTCGTAGATTTGTAAGCTTTACGTTATAAATGCGAAATTGCATCTAAAATAGATATCTTACCTCGCGCTTTATATGCGGGGAACGTTTCAATTGCGATTAAAGGCGATCGGGGCGAACATTTAATACGTATCTACAAAAATAATAGAGCCGCAAATAATGTACTAATTGGCTAAAGCCAAAATGACACTTTTATTCCTTAATCTTTTAAACGTAGACTATAATTCTAAGGATATTAATCAGGATTATGGAATCTTGACTTTCAAAGGCGCCATTGAAAATGGTTTTAAGATTATTTATTCAAACAGTAGCAGATTTATACTTTCAGTAAACCTTCCTTCAAGCGAATGGAGAGCGTGCGTCACCGATTCTGATTTATGACTTCTGTGTTTCTCAAGTTATTTTATATTTCTCTCTCTCTCTCTCTCTCTCTCTCTCTCTCTCTCTCTCTCTCTCTCTCTTTTTTTCTTTCTTTCTTTCATCTTTTAACTAATACAATTATTTTACTTCCAATATTACATTTCTCGTGTGTTACATTTCCAGTTGTGGCGAGGGACTGACTTAAAGTGGACCGCGACAATTCATTGCGCTACAATGTTTATTGTAATAATCATTTATTATCCTTGATCCATCGCCCTAATATACTCGGTATATTTAATCGCTTTGGACACGTACAGACGTCTCAGATTATAAATAATGAATCTCTCATTACGATTATTTATTACCGACAATCCATTATCATCCATTATTGCCACATCCGTGGCTCTTTCGGACGCACTAAAACACCTCAAATTATGTGCCGTCGCGTCGTGAGCACGCATATTGGCTTTTTAACCACTTAACGCATCAATTTTTTTCTCCGCGCCCTGTTATACTCCTCTACGAGACGTAACTTACGTCGCACATCATAAAAGCCGTAAAATATGTATAACGGCGGCGGCGAGAAAAGAGAAAAGGAACGGGCGTATCGAAATTAATGCTACCAAACTCGCGCCAGTGGTAATTAGTTTCGCCCCGAAAAGGGGAGCAGCCAGTCGATTCGTCTTTCACTTATTGGCCATGAATCCTTCCTCATCGATTACGGCAAGCACCATAGCAAGTGCGATCGAATTTAGCGTGTCCGAAGCAAAGGAGTTAGCAATATTGCGCGAGAGTACTGCCAATAATAATAATAATAGCTTTCGCTATTAAATTCATCATGTCAAATTAAATCCATTAAGTTATTTTTAATCATTTCTAGAGATTGTTACTCTGCTCCTACTCAATGTATCGTTAATTTAATTGAAACAACAATTGGAATAACAATATTCTAACTCAAGAAATATATT